TATTGCATTGATAGAGAATATGTGTATTGATTGAGCATTGCATGTGCATTTTTGCATACATTGTTTTGTGTGGGAGGAGATAGGGGTTGTACTCCACGGTTTAGGGGAAGATAGGGGATGGACCTCTAAACCGGATTTTGTTTGGGAGGAGATAGGGGATGGACTCCATTAGCATCACTTTTATGTGTGCTTATTTATATAGAAGTGTTTTTATTGATACAGCACTAAAATGTGTATCAATCTGGAAGTATGAAGCGTCTTGATTTGAGCTTGAGCCTCATTTGTTTGTTGACATTGGAAGAATGTGAATATGATATATATAATTCACTGTTATAAATTTGGCCAGTTTCTGAGCCATATTGATTAAGTTGGAAAGTAAAACGTGTCTTAGACAATAGTGTCATGAGACTATAAAATGAAGTAATTGATTATCTTGGTTAACCATCTGTTGAATGCTATTGCTTTATTCATTGCTTATATGTGGTTTAGTATATTTCTACTGGGCTGTGGCTCACCCTTTATGGGAACATCATTTTCAGGTTCAGGTGATAAGCTACCTCCAAGGACTTAGCTTGGAAGGACTTGGATTTTGAAGACTATTTCTAGTTATTTGTTTTTCATTGTTAGTACATGTAAACACTCAAGCCTAGGGCTTTATTTATATTTGAGTTAGAACTCATACTTTTGTGTCCAAGTGTTGGCTTGAAAGATGTAAGCCGTTAGGGCATTTAATTTGATGTTACATGTAATGCTTTTGTTTAGTAAGACTCTGATGACTATTATAATGAAATGTTTCCTCTCTATCATTGCATGCTGATGATATGTATAATTAATGGGTTATTTTTGAGGGCGTTACAGGAATCTTCCTTTTTTGTCCGAGGGATTAACTGGTATTTCAAGCAAGCTTTTGGTAAAGAGGGAGAAAACAAAGAAGAATACTTTTCTTGCTAGTTTGGTGATCCAAGGTTCTTGAATGAATTGTAATCTCCATCTTGGTACTACAACATCAAAAAAAATTTATCAATGGATTTAAGTGAAGATAAACATTTTGTGAGAGAGGTAGTAAGTAGAAAACTTTATTTATTTTTTTATTTTGACTTAAATCCATACGTCTTGTATTTGTTCCATGCAAAATGTTACACTTCATGAAAGAAATAGGACTAATATGAGGAAAATTTTTATGAAACTTTTAGAAATAATTGAGTATGTTTTAATAAATATATTGTTGGAATAATCTTCTGTGTAAAAAAACTAAATCAAACAAATAAAAATAAATTACTTACAGAAGTTATTTACCAAAACAACTTAACAATATAACGATCAAGTCGAGTGTGTGACACTCTGTCCTTAAGACAGATTTGCCCAGCTTCCGTGCTTACGGATAAATAGTGTCTATCTCCCAAGATACAATGGTCTACATAGATTGTAGTAGCACTCCAAACAATCTGTACGGCAAACTAGAATCTATGTTCTATACTCTCTAAAATTTTTCCTAAAACTAATATAAAGAATAACAATGCAAAAGAGCAAAAACGGGAAGCAAGATTAATTTTCTGGATGTCCAAAATGATGGAAGATGGCATGTATTTATAGGCAAACTTGTGACAGTTGGACAGATTCAAATATGTGTGATTTTCAAACTGAACAGATACAAAACAGTTTTAGATTTGTTGGAAACTACTAGGCAGTTTTCAAACTGTTTAGAACAGTTTGAACCTGCTAGAAAATGGACTGAAAAAAGGACACTGTTTGGACAGAAAATTTTGGCACAAAATTTAAATTAATTTCGTTTAGAAATTCAAATAATTTTCCCGCAAGAATTTGAAAAAATTCAAATAAATTTTATTCAAAAAATTAATGTTAGGACTGACCTGACCCACCCTCGCGCTTGGCTTGGCCAGACGGATGGCGGTGGTCGTGCGCGTGTGGTGGTTTGAGCCAAAGTCTACTTTGTCACTAACTCCTCCCTTCTACAAACTTGGGGTGCTCCTTAAGGCCCAACCCAAGTGTTGTCACCTAAAACTTATATACACACATAAGTTCTCTTAAATTGTCAATGTGGGATAACCATTTGGGCTAAAAGTTAGTTCATAATAAGCCTCTAAAACCCAATTTTTCCAACATATATTTCCTATAACGTGAATATGATTTTAAAAAAAAAAAAAAATTGTCAAGTTTCCAGACAAGTTAAAAGTTAATCCATCCTACTTGTGGACATTTTGATTTCTAATGAAAGACTATAATTGGGACATATTATTTTGTATAAATTTTTTATAAATAATTTTTGTTTATATAGCATTAATTACTCTAAATATTTTCCTCAATTCATATCATATTTATGGGTCATGGTAAATGTCATAATTAAATTTTTTTAGTTCATAATTGTAAAAAATAATAATAATGAGTCATAACTAAATATAAAATGAGGTATAACAAAAAAACTTTTTAAATCATAATTAAAATAGTATAATAATCAATATCACAAAAAATTATAAATAACACCACAATAAGATATAACCAAGGTGAATGTTAACATGTCAATGAGAATATTCACATTGTCAACGGGCTGGGTCGGGCCCGTCTTGGGCCGCTGGCTAATTTTATACTCTTATTAATGTGAATGTTAACATGTCAATGTGAATATTAAAGGAAAGAGACGAAAACTCAACTTTCCCACTGCCCTGTATGTAGTAACTGATGACCAATAGTTGGCTCTGTTGCATATGTAGCACTAACTTGTATGCCCCTTACCTCTCCCAACCTGGTTGTCAATTGTGATTATGGACTGAATCTGTGTGTCTGTGCAGTGCAGTTTGGGCTCACACTTGGCTCTATCTACATAGATCAGCCAACAGACTTCAGCTTGGTAGAGTTCTTGGGGATGAATGTCTATTGTTCTTGAGATTTGACTGTACATTTTGTACCAGTTAAAGATTTAATATTATTTTTTGTGCACCAGAAGCTGGAGCCAGTTTCTTTTTTGGACCTTCTCAACCAACCCATGTATTCTCTCATAAAATTACTAGGCTCGTATTGAAGTTTATAGAAGCCGAACCCTGTGAATTTTCATGATGAATTTGCTCCTGATGTTACCATTTTGTTTCTTAAATCCTTGTGCATCTCAGGTTGGATTAGATTCTTTTGGACTATGTGGTTGGCAACAAAGAAAAGCGTGGGGCTCGCGAAGCATTCATTGACTGTGATTGGATCAGCGCTTTCTGCTTACTCTTCTGCCTAGCATGTTCGCAGCCGTCATGAGGCATGATAAAGTTTCAGATTGATTGAATTGCTGCTGTAGAAACTAGTCCATGTAGAAATTTAATGGAAAAAAAAAAAAAAAAGCCAGTTTGTAGTCTTGTGTAGAAATGTTTGAAGTACATATGTTGCACTGCTACCTTATTGAGATGTTTTCCAGGATACTCCAATCTTTATTTATTTGGTGCTAATCAAAGATATAACGTAGCTAGCTTAGAGAAGTTAGGGCGAGTCGCCTATTTGTCGATTCCATTAGGGGCATGGGCATTATAGAAGCAAAATTTGATTATTTATTTATTTATGTTTCTTTTTACTTTGTTCGTATGCTTGCTTGGCGGTTTCCTCGTGTATTTTATAATCCTATATATCTAATATGAAATTGGAAAAGAAAATTACTAGTTTTTATGCCAGTTTACCATTTCCTTGAGTTCTACTCTCTAGCTGATTCTGGTTTTTTTGTTAATCAATTCTTTTAGACTAAGAATTGTTTTGTGGAAGATATTAGTTTACAAATTGTAGGAAGATATTGCTAATTCACCTCGTTGTTTACCATCATCAAAGCTGTGTAACTTTTTCTTTGGTCATCATGTGCATACAGAGGCCCACTCTTTGGGTAGTTTCTTCCCTTGTACCAATTGTAGGGGGAGTGGCATTGGCATCATTCACCGAGGCATCTTTCAATTGGTATGACACTAACTGAAAATTCTCTTAAACAAAGAAATTAACAAATCAAAACCCTTGAAATTTTGAAGTTTGGTTCTCACATGTGATGCTTTCTTTTGTTTTGAAACAGGATAGGTTTCAGTAGTGCAATGGCTTCCAATTTGACCAACCAATCACGCAATGTACTTAGTAAAAAGTTCATGGTCAATAAAGAGGTAAAAATTCATAACTTAGATACAAGTTCTAATTTTCCATGCTGTCTAATCATCAAAGTTCCACAAAGACCTTTCTTTGCTTACACATTTGGAAAATGACAGTTCATTTTCTTGATTCATGCAAACTTGTCACAACATTGTTGTTGTTGTTGTTGTTGTTATTTTTTTCCTCGTAATTTTAACCAACAATCTACCATAAACAGGAAGCTTTGGACAACATCAATCTCTTCTCAATCATAACAATTATCTCTTTTGTATTGCTGGCCCCTATTGCTATTCTCATGGAAGGCGTGAAGTTTAGTCCATCATACGTGCAGTTCGCTGTAAGTGATATGTATCTAACAAGATGGATTGCCTTAATTTGTTATACATAGTGTTTATAGATCAGTTTTTGTATCCCAACATGATACACATTTCTATATACCTGGTTTCAGGCAAGTCAAGGGTTGAATGTTAGAGAGTTGTGTGTGAGAGCTCTCCTGGCTAGTTTTTGCTTCCATACTTACGAACAGGTGAGGTTTCTCATATCTTGTGTTTTCATGGCCTAGAACATTACAAATCACTGTATTTGTTACATGAAACACCACAATATTTTGAAATTAATTAAAGATCAAGCACAATAAACTGTTGCTATAGTGCCAAAATTTTTGGTTAAACTTCAGTTTCACCAATGGATATTCAGTGCTAACACTCATTTTATGATAATCACTCCCCTTGATTAGTCAACAAAATGCATCATTATCACTTTCTTCAAATTTTTTTATTTTTGGGGACTATGTTTTACAGAATGGGTCCATTCTGTCATGAAAACTATAATCGGAACTGAAAAAAAAAACTATATTTGATCAATTTTACTTAAAAATATCATGTAACTTATCATTTCAAATTATGACTGTCAGGTTTCTTATATGATATTACAAATGGTGGCACCGGTAACCCATGCAGTGGGAAACTGTGTGAAGCGAGTTGTGGTCATTGTGTCCTTTGTTATTTTCTTCCAGACACCTGTTTCTCCTATTAACGGTCTCCGTAAACCCTCTATAACTAACATGTTACTGGTAAAAGATGCCTCTCTTCACACTTGCTTGGTTAATGCTTGGTCTGTAAACTGGGTGAGTTTTAATTGCAAGAACTGTTGTGGCGCTTGCTGGTGTCTTCTTGTATTCAAGAGCGAAGCGCATAAAACCAAAGGTTACATGACTTCAAAATGTGAAATTAGTTTGTGTCTTAACAAAGATTCCAATTTGATTGGTGGGATGGAGTTGTATATAGTCAATTTTCCATAATAAACTATTTTTACACTATATTTTTCATTGTTAACCTGAATTGGCCTATCACAAAATCCTAAAAAATTCTTACCAGTGACTAATGTTTCACCAAATTTCACTGTGGATACAAATTTTGATTTTTCTTACGCTGTTCAGTGGTAGAAGTGAGTTTTCACGTGTACAGTTGTGGTAGAGCAAGGTGGAGAGAGGAAAGAAGAAGAAAGAGCTGATTTGCTATGGACAATGGATAAATCATCTTACAAAAACACAAACCAACCACCATAGCAGTCCCGAGCATCATTTGCATTTCAAATTCATGGTGTCAAGACCTTGAATTCAAATTCATTTGATGCAGGGTTACATGGTGGGAAATGGTGTTGCAGACTCAAAGTTTGATGGCAACGCCCTCGTTCCGTTTGCAAATGGAATGGGTCTCATCTCTGATGGTATTTTTGAGGTAGTCGAAAAGCGTATGCTGCCTAGGAAAAAGGAAAGAGACATGAAAAGTTACTCTCAGAATAAAAATCATTTTTACTTTCAAACGTTTCTTATCTAAAATCCATGTCCGCCTCTAATTATGACCAGGTCCAAATTTTTTAGTCCACTTTGACTTTCAATCCACCAGAGTAGCCTACAAACGATGGTGAGACCTTAGTGGTGATTAGCAACTGAAGGGTTTATTGATTGTCCGTATTAAGTTTTATCTTATGTTGGATTCAATTAACGCTTGTTTTTCTTTATTTTGGCAACCACAACTTGGCATTAATGTTTTGAGATTTTGGTAAAAAAGGCCAAGAAAAGTATTGTGATATAACATTTTGGAGATTATGAGATTGACCAATTTCTATATTGTAATTTTGATGAAAATTTAGCATTAACTTTGGAAGAAACTGATGAGTAGACATTCCTCCAAGTACTTGTTTGCTGCTGGCACTAGCTAAGTTACATAGTTTTTGTTGCTCAACATGTGTTTGAGACAAATGCATGATCTTGTTGTAGGAAGCTGAAGATGCTTGCAAAGGAAACTATTATAATCCGAATAGTCTAACGTGCTAACTTATGATTAGCAAAGTAGAATCGGTAAGGTGGTTTTTATTTACACTTGCTTTAAACTCTGTTTCCTTGAATTTTTTATTTTTTATTTTTATGTATGTTTATATTCTGAATGAATGTAAGAAACTTACTTTTAAAAACCGCTAATTAATTATGTTTATATTTAAAAATGTTTTGGTTTTTCACTTCCTGTCATGGTGACTATCTAGGTTATAAAAGATGATACTACTGATCTTCCTAGTGGATGAATTATCTTTTGAATGGAATTAATTGATAACAATGATGCCCCCTTGTGAACACATGGCGGAATGCTATGCCTATTACACAAGTTATCACTTGAAACTTTATGATTTGATGTCCTTTAATTACAGTGGGGGTTGTGGGGGTCTGGGGCATTTTCCTTTTATTTATGAGAAATCTTTTATTATACTTCATAATGTTTTTGGCTATAATATATATATATATATATTTGAATTATAACTCAGAAAATATAAAATTATATCGTTCTATAGTACATATAAAATTGGTTCGGCAACCTTAACTAAGTAGAAGCTTCTCTCACTCACACTCGATGTCTCGCTGGACTTTTGATAGCTATTACTGTGTGTCGCGGGTGACGACGCAGCATGATTGAATTTGGGAGCCCAATTTACATTTGATAAATATTTTGAATTTTTTTTTATTAATGTAAATATTGAGTTTTTTAGTATTTTTTAACTTTTTTTTTTGTTAAAAGATGAGGTGAAATATGTTTGTTAATTTTTTTTTCTTTTTTTATAAACAAACATGCAAATATTATAAACAAACATGGAAAGAAATTTTTCACTTTTTTTGTATCAATTAATTTAATTTTATTTTTTTGGGATAAAATTATCATTTGTCAAATGATTTCTTTGTAAGTTCATATGTTAAGTTCAATTCGTATTTTTAAAACTTACGGAAGAAAAAAAAGAGATTTATAATGTTAATTTGAGATTTTGAACTTGCTAATTTTTTAAATATATTTTGGAATGAAAGTGTCCGTCTCAACCAACTCATTTATAAAATTTTAATTTTAATTTTTTACTATTTAGTTATACAATAAATTAGAAAATATTTAACTATTTCACTTTTACAGGTGTATAAATTTAAAGACTGAAATTCAAAAATATGTGGTCAAATGTTCAAATTCAAACACTTGTGGTAATAGGGATAAAATTTATTTAATAGTTCACACAAAAATCCCATTTATGTCAAGTTAAGTGGATGAGCTTGAAATTTAACTGTTTTTTTTTTAAGAGTTAAATTTGGAAGGGTTAAATTATGCCCAATATTGAGACAAATATGTTATTAATATATAATAATTTGTTTGAATTCGGAATTGCTAAGTTTTGTTTATTTTGCACAGTGAAATTTACGGACTCTATTTGATGTCAACAGAATATCTATTTCAGCACTAAAAATTCTAAATAATAGGGATAAAATTTATTTAATAGTTCACTCAAAAATCCCATTTATGTTAAGTTAAGTGGATGAGCTTGAAATTTAACTGTTTTTTTTTTTAAGAGTTAAATTTGGAAGGGTTAAATTATGCTCAATATTGAGACAAATATGTTATTAATATATAATAATTTGTTTGAATTCGGAATTGCTAAGTTTTGTTTATTTTGCACAGTGAAATTTACGGACTCTATTTGATGTCAACAGAATATCTATTTCAGCACTAAAAATTCTAAAATTGGTGACTAATTATAAAAATTAGGCCTATAATTCCAAATTTATCACTAAAAGGTTCAAATTGAGAGTTCCAAAAAAATGATCAATTTTAAGTGAAATTTCACTTACTGTCATAGTGAAAAATCACATGGTGAAAATTCATTGTGAGACAATGCAATCAAATTGTTTTGGAGCGTGAGAATTGAGAGGTTGTGTAGATGAATTGGTTGCAAACAATCACCTTTTGTTCTTCACTTTGGTTCTAGTTGTTGTATTCCAAAAGGGCAAATTAAAAGAAAATTAAAATTAAAATAAAAAATTGAACTCTAATTCATACAAACATCTACTCAAAAAGGTATCAAAATTTTAACGAACGAGGCCAAACAATTGTTCTTAAAAAATAAATAAATAAAACAACCAAACAGAAACTTAAACTCCTATGTTTTATTGATCATTTTGAATGGATCCTGAAATTGGTTGACAATTTTTTGTATTGTACCAACAAATAACCAACTCACTAAACCTATTTGACATTTAAAAGAGTTGAACCTCCCCTCTTCCAGTATAGGGTTTGCTAAGTGTACACAGAGGAGATAGAGAGCACTCAGTGTCACTCTGCATTCCCAAATTAACAACTTTTAGTTCATTTCAGGCAAACTTCTCTTATGAAAAAAAAAAACAACAACAAAAAAATGTAAGTTCAATAAGAAAGAACATGTAAAGACAATACAATGAATCGACATGGAAGACTAAACTGTTACCGGGGTTCCAGAATTATAACCGTCACATTGTTCAGTGAACGTATTTCTGGGCTTTTGCATAAATTCTGAGCTGGCACATTTGTAATAGTTGAAAATGCAGGTTGTAATAGTTGAAAATGCAGGGTAGAAGCACAAGTTCATTGCTAAGAATCCCAACTCAAAGTCATTGCCAGCAGGTACGATGGTATTGGAGGCTGTGATTGGCTGTCCGTGTAAGATTGTATCTGTTGAGGCATCAACAAACAGCAAACATGAAGAAATTAACAGGAAAACAAGATGAGCAAATGTTCTCATCCTTGGATTATTGGTTTAATATAGTTCCACAATTGTTCTGCCATATATGTCCACTCCACAAACCCACCTAGGAATCACCGTGATTATTCTTTATAATAACATATTTTGTACAGCAGAACATTCATCAAATAGATTTATTACAGGCGATGTTTTGCATATAATTCATCGCCTCGATCACTTTTAACCAGACCAAATTTGTTTTATAGTGTCGACAATGAGGCTGAAATTTTCATGTTCATTTCAAAGTCCTAATGAATCAACTATGATTTATTCATTATATAATTAACAATGAGAGCAGAAGCGGCACATACATTCCCAAAATTTTGGGAATTTACATGGAACAATCAATTTCAGATATGAATATAGATTGGGAGTTTTGCATTCTTTCTTCTTAGCATTATAAAATATTAAAAATTGTTGGTTTTGTTGTGGAAATTTTCACGTATTCTTTTATTTTTACTTATTTAAATTCCACACGCTACTAATATATAATTAGATTACGTAGTTGCAGTTTTTCACCGAGTAGAAGCTTTCTCTTATTCGTACTCTCCATCTCGCCGGACTTTTGATTGCGCTCACTGTGCATCGCCAATGACGCTACACAATTGAATTTGAGAGCCCAATTTATGTTTGATAAATATTATAAATGTTTTTTTTTTTATATATATTAATGTTAAAATTGAGGATTGTTCAGAAAATATATATATATATTTTTTTTTGGGAAAAAAAAAAAGTAAGTTACCATTTATTGGTAAATTATAAAAATTATGGTAAATTTTATAATTTTAATTATTAATATTTATAATATTTTTCATCTATTTGTAATTCAATGATTTTTTTTAATTTCAAAAATATTTAATTTTCCAAGTTCTACCCACTAGACAGTCCATTAATTTTTTTTTAAAAAAAAGAAAAGTCAAGAAATGACCCAAAAAATAGTGGACTTTTTTAAATTTCTTCTTTAATTTTTTTTAAATTTTTTTTTTGTTACATTTTAAATTCCTAAGATGGAAGGAAAAGTTTTAAAAAATTGACATAATTTTTAAAAAAACATATCAGAAAAATAGAAAACATTATACATATATTTGGATCGACAAATAAGATGGAAGAGCGACAAGACAAAGAAAAT